GTCCAAGCTCACTTACTACCCCCAACATCATGGGCTCTTATTGTATTGCTTGGCTTATGTGGGTTTCTTATCAACCACATTCTGGTAAATGCAAATATATTACATCTACTGGTATCCATTAATCTACCCTGTTTGTTATCTCTTCAAATAACTCTAGTAAATTTGTCAGGCATGATTTCCCCCTCTTGTAACCATGCAGACTCTGCTTGACTATATTATGTTTTTCTAAATTCTTTTGCATTCTTGATAATATACTCTTAACATTTTCCAATGACAGGTTTTAAGATAACTTGCCTACAGCTACCTGTTTTTCAGTCTCTCCCCTTTTTGAATAATGATCTTACATTGGCAGTTTTCCAATCCTCTGACACTTGCCCAGAAATCTAAAGATTCTGGAAGTATTACTACCAACCTATCCACTCTCTCTGCAGCTACTTCCTTTGAAATCCTAGGATACAACCCACCAGATCCAAGGGACTTATTGGTTTTTCGCCCCATTAATTTCCCAAGCACTTTTTCTCTAGTGATAGTTATGCGTTTATTTCCTCCCCTTCTTTAGTCCCTTGATTATTTAATATTTTTGTAATACAATTAGTATCCTCTACTATGAAGACTGATGCAAAGTATTTGTTCAACTCCTTTGCCATTTCCTGGCTCCCCATTCTTTCTCAGCCCCTGTTCGCTGAGATGCCTATGTTTACTGTTGCCTCTCTCTTCCCTTTTTAATATTTAAAGATGTTCTTACTTTCTATTTTTATGTAACTTGCAATTTATTTTCTCCCTCTATTATTTTTCCAGTCATCTCTCATTGGCTTTCGAAAATTTTCTAATCGTCTGATTTAAAATTAATCTTTGCCACGTTGTAAGTGTTCTCTTTCAATTTGACACTGTCCTTAACTTCTCTGGTTAACTATGCTTCGTTTATCATCTTCTGACAATTCTTCCTCATCACATGGATATATCCTTGCTGTGAATCTATTTTTTAAATTGTCTGCCATTATTCATCAACTATCTTTTCTGTTAAACTCCTTCCCCAGTCGACTCCAGCCAATACTGTTTTAATTTGTTTGTAATTATCCTGATTTAAGTTTAGCTGAGTTATTTCTCAGTCTCTAACTGAATGTTGAATTCTATCATGTTATAGTCACTGTTCGCTACGGGATCTTTTATTCTGAGACCATTTATTAAACCTGCCTACTTACATATTACCAGATCCAAAATAACCTAATCCTTGACTGGATACACAAAATATTGTTCGAGGAAGCTATCCTGATTGCACTCTATGAATTCATGACCTCAATATTTTCTGATTTATTCTCTGTCCTATAGAACAGCTATTATTAGGGAGCCTACAGTCAACTCCCTTCAGTGTTTTCATCACATTGTTATTCCTTATCTCCACCCATACGGTTCTATATCATTCAATCCAAAATTATTTTTTACTAATATATTAATTGCATCTTGTACTAATAAAGCCACACACCACCCTTCTCTTCCAGCCTGTACCTTTGAAAGGTCACACATCCCTTGGAACATTCAGTTCCAAGCTCTGAACTTCTTGTAATCATTCCTCCATAGTGACTTTAAAATCATGCCTGTTGGCCTCCACTTCTGGCGTCTGTTCATTTATTTTGTTCTGACTGCTGCACGCATTCAAGTAATTTTGCTTTATTACCTTTTGTTCCCCCTTTTTCTCTATTTGTTACTGATCTTTTTAAATGCTTTGTCCCTTTTTGCCCCATCTGAGTATGATTGTCAAAATAATTTTCCAGCAACGTCCTTTTGATTTGCCAGCCTACATTTCTCTCATCCCTTTCATTACCTTTATTCCCCTGCCACCGAAGCCCATCCAACTTGAACGGCTCCTTTCTACCTAGGTACTGGTGCCAGTGTCCAGATTGCCCCCAGCTTCTCTCCAGAAAGATGCAAGCTGATCTAAAACACAAAACAAATCACAATCCCAGTGTTCTGCCTGATACATTGTCCAAAGACAGATTTTTTTTTCTCCTATGTAGAGTGTTGTCTTTCCAAATGAAGGCGTTGAGAACTGAAATCCATTCCTCCTACACCAGTCTTTAAACCATGCATTTAACTCTACTTTATCTACCCTATACCAATTTGCTTGTGGCTCAGGAAGTAATCCTGAGAGTATTGCTTGCAGGTTCTTTATTTTAGTTTAACTCCTAACTGTTCAAACGTTTTCAGTAGATCCTCCTTTCCTGTCCTTTCAATGTCGTTAGTACAAACGTGGATGACAACAACTGGATCCCTCCACTCCCGTTCCAAGTTCTTCTCCAGCCCCGAGGAAACACCCCTAACCCTGACACCCAGCAGACAAAATATCCTTTGGGAATCCCACTCATGAGTACGTTGTAAATGACACATTGAATTTTTCAATCACTAGCTATATGTTGTGCCACTCCCCTGCTTACAATCAACTAAATATATTTTTGCACCAAAGATTATTCCTTTTTCATAAGCAATGACACTTTATCGGAGAACAGGTTTTCTAGAACTGAATAATTCTGCTTTACCAAGAAACTGAGAATCAGGTTGCTGTACAGTTCTGAGGAACTGTCACTGAACCCGAAACATTAATTCTGATTTCTCTCCACAGATGCTGTCAGACCTGCTGAGCCTTTCAAGCAACTTCTGTTTTAGTTGTTGTACAGTTCTAATTTGCTGACCCGATCACTACAGATATGTTTTATTCTCCAGGTAGAATGAGGAAAATAAACATTATTATTTTCTTTTACTGAATTCTGATAAAGTAACAAATATCTTAAATGTTTCTATACAAAATGAAGTTATCCAACCAGTCTGGCTTTCATTCACAGCACTTTCCACTGAACCTATACCTGAGCCTTCATTTTGCAGTTGTTAATATACTTCACCAACACCGTCTATTTACTGTTAGTTCACAGCAAAAGTTTTGATGGTTGGAATCTAACCAATTGACTCCAATCATAACATATGTTCACCATCTGCAGGGTTTTTCAGGAATGTAACCCCTGCAAACAGCAGGACTTTACCATATTCTTATTCAGTCCTTGTCCTTCTCAATAACTACTAAATCTAATTATGATCAATCCCATAAAAATGCTCTTCTTCTGCCCTTCCACCTGCTTAGCTTCAATCCTGAAAGCTAAACCCTGTCAAATGCATCAGAAATCTAAACCCCTTCATCTCTTCAGCTGTGCTCTGTTGTCTCCAATTTCTATACTTAGTGTCACTTCTGTTTAGGTGTAATCCAGATATTATTCCATTTCCAATGTTAATTTAAATACAATTAGGATAAAAAATGTCTCTTGAGACCTTGTCCATCCTTATCATGGCAATCTCCTCCAAACCCATAAGCCTCTCAGATGCCTGAACTCCCTTTAATTCTGGCCTCTTCTGCATTCCCAATTACAATTGCTCCACTACTTTTGGTCATGCCTGGGTTCAAAACTCTGGAGTTCCCTCCCAATAACCTCTACCCCACTTTCCTACTTAAAAACTGTTTTTAAGACCAAACCTTTGACCAAGCTTCTGGTCATCTAACCTAATATCTCCCCATGTGACACAGGGTCATACTTTGTTTTATAATGTTTCTGTGAAGTACATTAGAACATTTCATTTTCTTAAAATTGTTACATAAATGTTGCTGTTTGAAGTCTTACTGTTTAATTTCTTTCCTAGCTCCTTGAAATCTATCCTTCTATCTACATTGTTGGTACAACTATGGACCCCGTCCTCTGAATGCTTACTCTCCCCCCACTCAGGATACTTTGCAGCAGTTTAGAGATGTTCTTCACTCTGACACCGGAAAGACAACACATCATCCCTGAGTCATCTCTGCAACTACAATCTTTGTCACTATTATTTACATGTCATCCCTCTTCCTTCCTCCCACACTGGGTAGCTGAACCATCTATGGTGCTGTGGTTTTGGTTCTTGCCACTCACCAGAGGAACCATAAATGAACACTAGTTAGAGAGAAAGATGAATTCAGGGCACTCTTCAGCCTGCTCATCCATTGGACAGTCACCTTCTCTGATTGTACAATTTTAAGCTCTGGTTACTAATATGTTACGTACATAACTCTTGGTTTTGCAGTTGCACCATGCTGATGCCTGCTGCTGCTCAAGCTCTGAAACCACACAAATCATCACAACTATTGTAAGGGCTCATGAAAAAATGACTTTCAGAACTACAGGACTATCAGTGAGGGAAATTTCAGCATCACAGGGAGTAAGATTAGTGTGAATTCTGACCCTGATTTTCTACAAATGCACCTATTTCTGTTTTAATTGCAGGTTTGGCATGGGGTAGGAGGAGGGAAGCTAACGGAGTAACTGTCTTTAGTGAGGGAGATCGGTGATAAAAATCATTTCAAACAAGTTCTATTGTACAGATCTCGTGAGCCAGTTAAATTTAATGGCTGCAGACAAGGTATCCCCTGGCTCCAGAATTGTGGCAACTGAAGAAGGTAAGATCTACCATGTCTATCAAAGTTAAGCATTTTTCAATATTAAACAGAAGAAACCTGGCATATTAAGGAAACTTTCTGTCAGATTACACCATTCCAAAGATCAAAAACCATCAGTCCCCCACCGTGATCTCTCCCTCATAGCTGCCTAACAGAATCACAGAATTGTTAGTGATATAGGATGCCATTCAGCCCATTATGCCTGCATCAGTTCAATTACATTGTGCCAATTTCCTACCTTTTCCCCATTTCCATGTACACCATTGCTATTCAAACTAATTGACCCTAGCAGTTTTTTTGAGGGGGGATGGTGTTGGTAAAGGGAGCAGAGAGAGGGAAAATAACATTAAGTAAAATGCTATTCAGATGAAATGTGATGAAAAGCTGCTATACTTTGGTCTTCATGGCATTTCTCAGTTTCTCACTCACTGAGGAATGCTGCTGCTCCTAGCCCATAAATACTGGGGGCAGAGTGTCAGAGGATGAGAAATAAAGTTTATCAGAGAGGGAAAGTATGTTTTCACATTACCTTTTCTCTCTGAATTTCATTCTTGATCTGAGAGATCTTTATTTTCATGGTGTCCAATTCTTCATCTGGTACCAATGGAATGGTTGGAGTGTTGTCTGACTCATCCAAATTTTGGAAACTCAGATCAGCTAGAGGAATGTACCACTTACAGTCATATTGTTGGTTCTTGCTAAGAGAGAAAAATAGCATTAGTGTAACTTCAAGATCACTGATAAAAGAGAGATCGAAGATAGGACATGTTTTTGCAGATTTGTTACCTTGTTACGCCTCAACTCTGGGTGGATGTTTGTGAAGTATACTGTTACTATGAGAATGTCATTATTTACTTGCTGATATTTCTCAATTAACAACACTGAGGTACTCACTGCTGTCCTTATGTCCCAGAAAAAATAGCTCAGGTTCAAAACTCTTCACTGTAACTCCAGAAGTACACATGCAATTTTCAATCCTGGTCTTATCTGTCTACTACACTTACTTTGCTGGATTCTGATGAATTTGAAACTTGAATGTGCATTTCATGTCCTGATTAAGTATCACTCATTAGTAGTGGTTCAAATTCTGGTTTTCTTTCATGGACCTTGAACTCTTAGATTGAACTGTAGGAAGGTATATTTCCTGACAACACATGATCTGTGCCAAAAACATTTCAAATTCATTCACAGATGTCAGCTTCGCTTGCTGAGCCAGCATTCATTGCTCATCTCTAATTGCCCAGACAGTAGTTAAGAGTCACATGTTGGCCAGACCAGGTAAGGACAGCAGTGTCCTACCGTAAAGGATATTAGTGAACCAGATGGGTTTTTTGCGATAATTGATGTGGTCATCATTAGACTCTTTTTTTCATTAGATACCAGATTTTTTATCAAATTCAAATTACACTATGTGCCACGGCAGGATTTGAACCCAGCTCTCCAGAACCTTACCTGAATCCCTGAATTAACAGTCTAGCAATAATGCCAATAAACCATCACCTCCCCTTATTTACTCATGGGGTGTGGGCATCGCTGGCTGAGCCAGAATTTCTTGCCCTTCCCCAGCTGCCCTTGAAAAGGTGGTGGTGACCTGCTTTCTTGAACCATTTAAGTCCATTCAGTGTAGGTTGGCACACAGTGTCCAGAGTTCCAGACTTTTGACCCAGTGACACTAAAGAAATGGCAAGGCATTTCCAATCCTGAATGAAGAGTGGCTTGAAGGGAAAACTACAGGTGATGATGCATTCATGCATCTGCTGCCCTTTTCCTCCTCAACAGTAGTAGTTGACAGTTTGGAATGTGCTGTCTAAGGAGCCTTGGTGAATTTCTACAGCGATGGTATATTCTGCTACTATTGAACACTGATGGCAAGGTAGCGAATGTTTGTGGATGTGGTGCCAAGCAAGCGGCCTTGGATGGTGACAAGCTTCTTGAGTGTTGTTGGAGCTGCACTCATCCAGAAAGTGGGGAGTATTCCATCACACTCCTGACTTGTGCCTGTGGACAGACTATGGAGAGTCTGGAGGTGAATCACTTGCTTCAGGATCTCTGGCCTCTGATCTGTTTTTCCAGTCACAGTATTTAATTGGCTAGTCCAATTCAGTTTCTGGTTAATGGTAACCCCAGGCTAAACGTTGAGATTTTCTCTTGTTAGAGATGGCCATTGCTTAACACTTGCGTGATGTGAATGTTACCTGCCACTTTTCAGCCCAAGCCTAGATATTATCCAGAATATGCTGTATCTGGACACAAAATTCCTCAGTATCTGAGGTGTCATGAATGGTGCTGAACATTGTGCAATCATCACTGAACATTCCTACTTCCAACAGTATGGTAGACTGAAATGCATTGATGAAGCTGAAGATGTTTGGGCCTACGGCACAACCCCAAGGAACTCCATGAGATGCTCTAGAGCAGAGAAAGATGGGTGACTTCTACCTACCACAACCACCTTCCTTCGTGCCAGGTATGACTCTTATCAGAGGAGTGTAACCCAATTCTCAATGACTCCAGTTTTGCTTGTGCTCCTTGATGTCACACTCAGTCAAATGTAGCTTTAATGCTAAGGGCAGTCACTCTCACCTCACTTCTGGACTTCAGCTCTTTTATCCATGTTTGAACCAAGTCTGTAATGAGGTCAAGTGATATAAGTGGCCCTGGTGGAACCCAAAATGAGCATCAGTGAGCAGATTACTTCTAGGCAAGAGCAACGCTGTGATGACACCTTCCAACACTTTATTAATAATAGAGACTAGATTAATGTGGTGGTAATTGCTCAGGTTGGATTTGTCTTGCTTTTTGTCTACAGGATATATCTGGGCAATTTCACATTGTCGGTTAGATGCCAGTGTTCTGAAACAGCTTGGCTAGTGATCTATCCAGTGCTGCTAGCTGTTTCTTGAGTTTACATAGTGTGAATTAAATAGGCTAAAGGCTTGCAACTGAGATACTGGGGACTTCTGAAAGATGTTGAGACATTCATTATTTTATTTTAATTTCCATCATTCTTGTTTTTTAAAGAAAGAGAACAAGGTTTTCGAAAGAGAACAAATTGATATTTGTTTATGAGGCCAGGCCTGGAATTTGATTCAATTGATTCTTGTTCAGTGTACTCTACATAAGTTTCAACGCCAGAGTGGAATAATGCTGAAACAGACAGAAGATGTTTGAAAATTAACAGCGGCCACAGCTAAGAGAACGTTTTAAAAAAAACAGAAAGAGAAACCAAAGTTTGCAATGGTTTGGAACATGTGTATTTTTGTCAGAAGGATTGTAGCTGCCAAAGCCATAGGAAGGAGATCATATTGCTCTCTGGTTTATCCTCACATTATCAACTTATTGAACGCAGAGAGAATAGAATCTCGATTATAAATAATAAGTAATTATTTCTTGGCACCTACTGGAAGCTATTTGACTGGTGTCGTCAGAAAGCAAGCAAGATACAATCCTGTGTGCAGGCCAGGCAGCATCAAAGGAGCAGGAAAGTTGTCATTTCCAGTCAGGACCCGAAGCTTCTGAAGCAGGGTCCCGACTCAAAACGTCAACTTTCCTGCTCCTCTGATGCTGCCTGGCTTGTTGTGTTCCTCCAGCTCCACACTGTGTTATCTCCGACTCCAGCACTGGTAGTTCTTGCGATCTCCAACATACAATGTTGTATGTCTCTGATATTATGAGCTGTGGAAACAGCTTAAGTGAACTGGCCACTTACATCCCTTTTCTTCAGTTTTATCCCTTAGTTGTGTGTTCGTCTGACTGTCCATGTGACAGAGGGGCTAGAACTGAAGAAGATTAGATTAGGTTTAAATCATAGACATTAATTAGATTACCTTGTTGGTTAACTTCACTCTTCTGAAGCTTCTGCATTAATACAAAATTGTTAATTCTTTTGTTTAAGCTATAAATTTGGTGTCTGATATTGGCTATCCACAAAATCTGGTATTGGTTATTTAAAAAGGCTGATTAGAAACTACTGGGGCGATTGAGAGTCATTGAGCATTTTAATTTTACAATGTTACAAATATATAGATGGAGAGGCTGATTTGATTCGGCTGTCTGTCTGTGTCAGAATGGACAGCAGGTAGACTAAGCATCTACGGGGCTTATCTCAACTATAGCCTGAGATGCACAGTCTCTGCTTAGAATGGAAAAGTTCAAAGCAGGAAAGATTGCTTGCTCAAGGCCCAAACAAAAAATTATATATGCTTACAACAGGGAAGAACAGACTAAAGAGAGAATATGGGAAGTACATCAAACAGGGCGGCATGGTCGCTCAGTGGTTAGCAGCGCTGCCTCACAGTGCCAGGGTTTGATTCTACCCTCAGGCAACTGTCTGTGTGGAGTTTGCACATTCTTCCCGAGTCTGCGTGGGTTTCCTCTGGGTGCTCCGGTTTCCTCCCACAGTCCAAAGTTGTGCAGGCTAGGTGGATTGGCCATGCTAAATTGCCTCTAGTGTTCAGGGATGCGTAGGATGGGGACAGGTCAGAGTGGGATGCTCCAAGGGTCGGTGGGGACTTGTTAGGTCGAAGGGCTAGTTTCCACACTTATAGGGATTCTATGATGAGAATGCGAGTGTATAAGGTATAAATACTAAGTTTGCAGCTGACACGAAACTTGGTGATGTTGTTCTTAATGAGGAGGATGGTCTCAGGCTACAATCTGATATTAATCAACTGGTACATTGGGCAAAGCAATGGCAAATGGAATTTGATCCCGATAAGTGTGAGATGATGTGTTTTGGGAGGTCTAATATGGACAGGATATACATAATGAATGATAGGTCCCTAGGGAGTACTGAGGAACAAAGGGACCTTGGTGTATAAGTCCATGATCTCTGGAGGTATCAGCACAGATAGACAGAGTGGTGAAGAAGGCATACAGGTTGCTTACCTTTATTAGCAGAGGTGTAGAATACAGGAGCAAAGAAGTCTCGTTACAACTTTATAAAACATTGGTTAGGCCACAGGTGGAATACTGTGTGTAGTTCTGGTAATCACACTATAGGAAGGACATGATTATACTCGAGAGGGTGCAGAGGAGATTCACCATGATATTTCCTGGGATGAAAAGTCTCGGTTTTTGTGCAGACACTGGACAGGCTGGGTTTCTTGACCTTGGAGTACAGGAGGCTAACAGGGGATCTGATTGAGGTATACAAAATTATTAGAGGCATAGAAAGAGTAGATTGTGAGGAGTTTCAGAGGAGATGTGAGGAAAAGAGTTTTCACCCAGAAGATGGTAGATGAATGGAATGTGCTATCTGAGAGAGTGATGGAGCCAAGTACTCTCACAACATTTAAGAAGCATTTGGATGAGTACTTAAAACGCCAGGATATAGTAGGCAATGGACTAAATGCAGGTAAATGGGATTAGTGTAGTTTGGTGTTCGTTGGTTGGTAGAGACATGGTGGACCAAAGGGCTTGTTTCTATGCTGTATGGCCCTATGACTTGTGAGGCGAGATTGGACAAACTTGGTTTGCTTCCACTTGAATGCTGACGGATGTGTGGCAGCCTAATAGAAGTTTACAAAATTATGGAAGGCATGGATGGAATAGAACAGGTGGAGTCTTTTTACTAGGGTAGAAATGTTTAAGGTAAAAGTTTAAAAGAGATGTGAGAGGCAAGTTTATTTACAGAGGGTGGTAAGTGCCATCAGAGGTGGTGGGGTGGAGGTGGGTACAATAGCCTTGTTTAAGAGGC